CTTGCTCAAATAGCAACTAAATTTAGAGCCAGAGACAGGTCTGGAATTTATTCCTTCTAAGCTACAGTCCAAAGCTCTCTCTCATCTACTTTCTTTCATCAGGCTTCCTGCATCATATTCATAATAGAGTAATTTTAATAGCTAGATTTTATTAAATTCATGCTAGTAACAATACATGCCTTCTTTAAATTTGTCATGTTCCCATTTCATAGGTAAGAAAATTGGGAAATGGAAATTATACTTCTTCCTCAATCTGGAGGCAATAATATTAATCATTGCATTCAATTTGATAATACATAAAAATAAATACAAAATCTTCATTAATTTGGACCTTTAAAAATATATTATCTACTGAAGTCTAATTATTTATTTATTCAAATTATTTGTCCTTTTTGCAGTAAGCACATTGTCAATAAATAATATTGTCTTTTTATTTTTGAAAGCATAAATTACTATTGGAAGGCAATGCTCTGTCAGTATATGAACACATAAATGTAAATTAAATTGTTAGTAATTTTTATAAAATAAAATATTGTTATGCATCAAAATGAAATCAAAGGGCACATTAAAATATGTAGTTGATTCTAGATGCTACACACATATGAAGGTAATTTTTGTTATATATAACCAACATAAAAATGTTACACTATAATCCTGAAGTGATTTGGGTTTTTTATTTAAAATTGATTACATATTAAATAACTTATGGAAAAACATCATGACGGTGTGGTGGCTTACACCTGTAATCCCAGCTACTGAGTAGGCTGAATTAGGAGTATCTTTATACCAGGAGTTCAATACCAGCTTGGGCAACATAGTAAGACATGGTCTCTTAAAAAGTGAAAAAAAAACAAAAGCATATCTGGGTGTGGCTGAGTATGCCTATAATCCCAACTGAGACAGAATGATTACATGAGCCCTGGAATTTGAAGCTGCAGTGAGCTATGACTTGATGTGAGATATGATCATGTCACTGAATTACATCCTGGGCAACAAAGTGAAAACCTGACTTAATAAAAAAGAGTAAGAGTAATAAGCTGCATTTATTGTAATTTTGTGTTTTTTTGATAAGAATTTTCTGCAACACATTACTTTATATTCAAAAATATAAGATGTTTGAATAAAATAATTTTATCAATATTAATACTTTGTTAATATAAAGAGATTAACATATTTACAAGCAAATCTCTTTTTTTTAATGTACTTTAGGTTCTGGGGTACATGTGCAGATCATGCAGGATTGTTGCATAGATACATACATGGCAAAGTGGTTTGCTGCCTTCATCCCCCTATCACCTATATCTGCTATTTCTCCCCACGTTATCCCTCCCCACCCTTCCCACCCCCTGCTGTTCCTCCCTTCACCCCCCCAAACTGACCGCAGTGTGTGATGCTCCCCTCCCCATGTCCACTTGTTCTAGTTCTTCAACACCTGCCTGTAAGTGAGAACATGCAGTGTGTAGTTTTCTGTTCTTGTGTCAGTTTGCTGAGAATGATAGTTTCCAGATTCATCCATGTCCCTATGAAGGACATGAACTTTTTTTATGGCTGTGTAGTATTCCATGGTGTATATGTGTCACATTTCCTTTATCCAGTCTATCATTGATGGACATTTGGGTTGGTTCCAAGTCTTTGCAAATGTAAACAGTGCCACAATGAACATACATGTGCATGGTGTCTTTATAATAAAAGGATTTATAATCCTTTGGGTATAAACCCAATGATGGAATTGCTGGGTCAAATGGAATTTCTATTTCCAGGTCCTTGAGGAATCGCCACACTGTCTTCCACAATGGTTGTACTAATTTACAGCTCTACCAACAGTGTAAAAGTGTTTCTATTTCTCCACATCCTCTCCAGCATCTGTTGTCTCCAGATTTTTTAATGATCACCATTCTAACGGGCATGAGATGGCAACTCTATGTGGTTTTGATTTGCATTTCTCTAATGACCAGTGATGGTGAGCATTTTTTCGTATGTTTGTTGCCCTCATATATGTCTTCTTTTGAAAAATGCCTGCTCATATACTTGGCCCACTTTTGAATGATTTTTTTGTTTTTTTTTGTTTGTTTGTTTGTTTTTTGTTTTTTGTAAATCTATTTTAGTTCTTTGTAGATTCTGGATATTAGCCCTTTGACAGATGGGTAGATTGCAGAATTTTTCCCCATTCTGTTGGTTGCTGGTTCATTCTAATGATTGTTTCTTTTGCTCTACAGAAGCTCTGGAGTTTAATTAGATCCCATTTGTCTATTTTGGCCTTTGTTACCATTGCTTTTGGTGTTTCAGCCATGAAGTCCTTGCCTATGCCTATGTCCTGAATGGTTTTGCCTAGGTTTTCTTCTAGGGTTTTTATGGTGTTAGGTCTTATGATTAAGTCTTTAATCCATCTGGAGTTAATTTTATTGTAAGGTGTCAGGAAGGGGTCCAGTTTCTGCTTCCTGCACTTTGCTAGCCAGTTTTCCCAACACCATTTATTAAACAGGGAATCCTTTCCCTATTGCTTGTTTTTGTCAGGTTTGTCCAAGATCAGATGATTGTAGATGTGTAGTGTTGCTTCTGAGGCCTCTGTTCTGTTCCATTGGTCTATATCTCTGTTTTGGTAGCAGTACCATGCTGTTTTGCTTACTGTGGACTTGTAGTATAATTTGAAATCAGGTAGCATGATGCCAATACCTTAAGAAAATAAAATCTATATGTTGGAAAATCTAAACCGTCACATTTAAATTAGAGCAACCCTATTTTTATGGACTATTAAAATTATTTCTAAGAAATAAGAATGACAGGTCATAATTAATTTATGAATATGTCATTCTTAGTATTTTTTTGAAGTGCTCATTCTATAAAGTTTGATTGTGTAAGTTGTGTCAGAATCATCTAATTTCCAAAATGTTCAATTATAAGCCAATGCAAGTCTAGCCACTTGCAGCTCAAAAGCCAAAATGGTGCAGGTTGTAGGTCTTCACATCTTTTGATGGCTATCTTGAATTACTGTCTACCCAGAGTTCCAGTTGGCATCAACTTGACTGCAACTGGGTTGTAGATTATCTACTTTGAGGTAATCTCCAGGTGAGGGAGAGTTCTGCAGTTGGGTCTCCATGTCTGATTTGCTCCATGCCTGGTATACTAAACAAGTATATCATTAGATAAGCATGCATGGTATAAGGGAGTGTCTGGTGAGAAAGGGAAAGAAACAAAGAATTTTAAGGTGCATTTCAAAGCTATGTTCTGAGTTTAGAGAAAATAATTTAAAAGGCATTTTAAAGCTAAGACATTCAATTATACTCTCCAAAGTGATTTCTTATGCAATATTATTGATCAGTTAAACTATGTTGCACATCAACATTTTCACATGTTATTTTCAATAAATATAAAATGATAGGGCTGTAAGATATAGATAATTACATTTTACATGTGCTTGGGTACATGTGATTTCTTAACATCTTCCACTTTTCAAATACATTGTTAAGTGCTAACTCATAACAATGGCACAGCTGTATAATATTTTTTGTTGTTTATTTATTGAAACAGGGTCTTGCTCTGTTTCCCAGGCTGGAGTGCAGTGGTGTGATCATGGCTCATTGTGGCCTCAACCTTCCAGGCTCAAGCAAGTCTCCTATCTCAGCCTTCTGAGTCACTGTGGATACAGGCATGCACCACCACACCTAGTTCATTATTTTAAATTTGTATTTATGTAGAGATGGGATCTCACTATGTTACCCAGATTTGTGTAAAATATTTAATAGAGAAAATACCATGGACACATACTGAGATAGAAGTTTGAATACTAGTACACCACTCTCTATAGTTTCAAAGCAAGTGTGTCAGTTTGATATTCAAATAATAATCATTGTACACAGTATACTATGGCCCATTGAAGTAAAAGAAACTAGTAAAACTTGAGGAAAATTGGCAGAGTTGATAATTATGTCCGTGTTATATTTGTGTTTATTCACAAATTAGTTGCTTAATATGAATTTGATGATTCATGGTGCCCAGATATGTGGGGCTGACATATAGTTGGATTAACTAATTGATTAGTTAATTCACTTCATAAATCTCTAGCCCTTGAGCCAATTTCATTTGACAGAACAATTTTATAATAAGTTTGTGTTTCTCTAACTGGGATCCTTTTTTGTTGAATTAATTGAAATATATGGGTTCATTGACTGTGCTTCAGCACTGTAGTTTGAATATCAGTGGCCAGTGTTCTTGATCAGAAGCCATATTTAATAGACCAGAATTTGTAAAACATTTGGCACATATTCATGCAAACAATATATAACCAAATCATACATAAAATGTTTTAGATTATTTTCTTATTTATTTTTGAACTGACATACACCCAGCCTATAAAGAAATGTTTCAAAGAAAACGTAAAGCCACAGCAAAAATATGACTCAGCTTTTCAAAACATCAGTTAGCTTGAATATATTAAGGAAGAACTTTTTATAACTTAATGTCAATTAATAATGTAAAAGAAACAATAAGGTTTAAAGATAAGTATTTCTAAAATATAGACGAAACTTATCAATGGATGCTGAAATGAATAAAAGTTTGATGCATAATAACATATACATATTTATCAAGTATCACTCCCCAAATAAAGTTGGTTACACTGAGGAGAAAGAGTAGCTCTACAGTGAAGAACACTGACATAAGCAATCTAATTCAAATAATCAAAGTTACTATCTAATAATGAGGCAAACCAATATCAAAGCCTTCTTAATATAATACAAGGGACAGAATATAGCATCACTTCTGTCATATGCTTGCCAAAAAATACATAACTGTAATGTAATCCTGAGGAAATGCCAGACTGCTCCACACTGGGGAACATTTTGCAAAATAATGTCTTATTCTATTCCAAAAATATTAAGGTAAGTAAAGTCAATGAAAGACTGAATTTTTGCAGATTAAAAGAGATTAAAGAGACATGAGACTGAAGGCAATATAGGGTTCTTGAATACAGGGTTTATTCTGTTTTTTTTTTTTCTCTTAAGGACATTAATGGGACCATTGGAAAATATGAAAAAAGTTGGTAGAATAAGTGATAATATTAGGTGAATATTAATGTCATTTTGATTACCGTACCATGGTTATGTGAGAAAATGGCTTTGTTCTTAAGAAATACAAATAGACGAGAGAGATCCAAGATGGCTGATCACTAGCAGCTCGGGATTGCAGCTCCCACTGAAAGAGCAGAGAACAAGAGGACGCCACACTTTCAGATCAATTTCTGTTGCTCATGCACCAGGAGATTCCCAGCGGAGGAGCCCCACGTGTCGCCAGCGTGACTCTTGAGGCCGGTGAGGCAGTTTTGCCACTGCCTTGGTGTGGCGGTTCTTGCTGCAGAGTCAGAAAAGCACCATCAATCTTAAAGCCACTGTTTTGGCCAGCATAGTGGGTTGCTCAGATTCTAGCGCCTGGAATCAACTAGTTGGACGTCCATTCAGAAACCCAACTATAAAGACGGTAATTATGAAGACTACAGATGGATAAATTTATAACGAAGGGAAGAAACCAGCCTTAAAAGGCTAAGAATACCCAAAATCAGAATGCCTCTCCCTCTACAGGGGATCACAGTTCCCCATCAGCAACAGAATAAGACCTGATTCAGAAAGACTGTGTTCCATTAGCAGAAGCTGGCTTTAAAAAGTGGATGATAAGAAACTTCTGGGAATTAAAAGAACTTGTTCTAACCCAATGCAAATAAACTAAGAA